GACCATACGCGAAGAGAGTGGGCAACCGATCCACAGCTTGTCAAAACGTTTGGAGCGTTGGGCTGAACACTTTGCAAGGCAATTTAACCAACCTGAGTTATCGCTTTCTTCTTCGGGCATTGAGTGCCCGTCTCCTTGGGCCGTCTCCTCGGATCCGCCCTCACGCGCAGAAGTCAAACGTGAGATCAGGCTGTTAAAATTCCATAAGGCCGCAGGGGCAGATAGAATTCCTCCAGCCCTCTTCAAATTCGGGGGACGTGCTCTAGTAGATGATCTACACGAGTTGCTAGTAAAACTTTGGGAGCAGGAGACAATCCCGACAGACTGGAACCGCTCCGTCATTGTCCCAATTTTCAAGGGAGGCTCCCGTTTGGAATGCGGCAATCATAGAGAGATCAGTCTGATTGCAAGTACCTCTAAATTGCTTGTCTCTATCATTCTCCACAGACTGACTGACACTCGTGGAAGCCAGATTCGTGAAGAGCAAGCCGGATTTCGTCGAGGTCGGGGCTGCATCGACCACATCTTCACATTGCGTCAAGTGTGGGAGCACCGCCATGTTTATTGGCGACCCACCGTTGTCGTGTTTCTTGACATAAAAGGTGCCTTCGACTCAGTCGATCGATGTGCTCTTTGGGACTGTCTGCTGAGGAAAGGTGTGCCTGATAAATATGTAAACATTATCAAAGCGCTGTACGCGCATAGTTCGGGCAGGGTGAGGGTTTATGGCAAACTCTCGCCACCCTTCTGTATCACCAGCGGTGTGAGAAAGGATACCCGCTGTCACCTTTCCTCTTCAACTTCGCTATTGATGAAGTCATGGAAACAGCGTTCACTGGACACGACCTAGAAGGTGTGGAGCTACTTCCTAGTGAGCGACTTCTTGACTTGGAGTATGCGGACGATATCGCCCTAATCTGTGACAGCCCCCAAACATGCCAAACAGCACTAGACCTATTTTTTGTTCGTCGCAGTCAGAGGACAATTCAGATAAGTTAACTACGTATCCGGAAAAGCACCATGGTGCTATTCCGGATACGTAGTTGACTTATCTGAATTGTTCTCTGACTGCGACGGACAAAAAATACGCACAAAAAGCCTTCTACTCATAAGTAGCACTAGACCTATTAGCACTGGCTGTCAATCGTTTTGGGCTATGCTTTGCTCCATCGAAATGCAAAATACTTCTCCAAGATTGGCAAAGACCCAACCCTGCGCTAACGCTTAGTGGTGACATGCTAGAAGTCGTTCAGGAATTCAAGTACCTGGGCAGCTATATTAGCACCCGTGGGATTGAAGATGAGGTTACGAACCGTATAGCAAAAGCTCGAGGTGCTTTTGCCAATCTCCGCCACCTGTGGCGCAGACGCGACATTACTCTCGCCCTGAAGGGCAGAGTTTATAACGCAGCCGTCCGTTCAACTCTCTTATACGGCTGTGAAACCTGGCCCATCAGGTCGACAGACATGAAGAGCCTCGTCACATTCGATCATCGTTGCCTTCGCAGCTTAGCTCATGTCTGGTGGGAACACCGCGTGAGCAATGAGCGTGTTCGGCGTCGCGCCAGATTGCCATACTTCTTGTCAAACCAATAAGGCTTAATTGGTCCGACATTCCGACATTCCACGGGCACAAATCAGGAACACAATGACGTAAATCTTTCTTTATAAATGTCCAACAGTCTTCTACAGATGTAGCTTGTGACAGAGACCAATCCAGTTGGCTCGCGGATCGAGCTAGACCGTTGAATTTGTTTTCCAGTAGTTGTACGCTGGCTACAGCGGACGTAAATACGGCAAAGGTAATTCCATATCAGCTATGAGCACTTAGTGGTCGCTTGGAGCAAGGGGTTCCAGGATCCGAACGCCATACACTTGTTCGTAGCTCATTAACATCAGGTCGAGACAGAACGGGGTTGGGCGTGGTGTTATGCGTGTTGGCTGGCATGTGTTGCGGTGCGCCAGTTTCAAACACCAAGTACACGAACTTCGCTGCAACCTCACCATGTCCAGGCACCAAATGAACATCAGGCCATTGTATTCAGAGACAGTTAAAATCGCCCATATATAGAAAATGTGGGTTCGAAAATGGGGCAGCCAATCCAAACAATGACTCAGGGGGCTGCGACAGACTGCGCCCACAAGTAGTTCTCCGCACCTGAGGCGGATGGAGCACCACAGTACCTCACACAAACCATCGTTACTTCGGTAGGTGCTCACAATTCTCCCACGCAGGGAAGACCGGATGTAGAGCAAGACACCACCGCGGGCATTTGTTAGTCTAACGCATTGGAAGCACGAGTAACCACTGAGTTACAATTTCCTGTGTGTTTACCTCTAAATGCAGCTATGTCTCTGCGAGTCCCACTACGTCTGGCCGATCAGACGCAAGGAAACAACAAAGCTCATCGCGCTTGTACATAACACTGTTAACGTTGATAAAGGCTACATGCAGGCCACAGCAGAAACCGCTCGGCGTGCTTGGTGTGAGCGACCTGTTTATGCTGATTCAGAGATTCTTGGAAACGATTTGAAAATTTACGACACGGAGATTTGATTGCCCCTCACCAGTACATCTTTCCAGCTCGATGATGGTAGACTTGAGCCCTTCCAGGTCTACTGCGTCCAGATCTGGACGAACATGGATCTACAAATCTTTCAGCCTACTTAGGCGGAACAAGAGCAGGTCTTGGATTGGATTCGTCCACAAGTGATTCCCATAGGCTAATTTTGTTGGTCACCTTGCTTAGCAAGACGGGTAATTTGCCTCACTTTTGCAGAGCCCTCACCAGCGTCGAGAAGTCTATCAAGTAGACTAAATAAACGACATCGTGATCGTAGCGCACTTGGGGTGATGGATCACTGGGCTCCAGCGTGTGGAAGATCACGGGGTCATAACGCCTCTGGGCGAGGTATATTACGAGCCTCATGTAGTGTGGCAAGCTTTTGACTTAGAAAGTGTAAATTCCAACATTCTTCCGTAATTTCGTCCTTCGTTCTTTCCAATGATCTTCAGCACGCAGGTTTTCACCTACTGGGGTATCAGTGGTCGTAGGACAAAACAAAGGTAAACAACTTATGCCAGGTGAAAATGGGTTTTTCACAACGGTTGAACTGGCGAGTTTGCAAAATTAGAGGAGGAATACTGAGTTGAAATCTGAAGGCTCATCGGGCTAGATTGTTGGGCCAAACACACAGAGCTGTTCGTAACGGAATGATGAAGACTACAAGTCAGCTTAACTCTTTCGGGCTGTAACTTGTTCCGATAATGTTCACATAAAGTCTGAATGAAATTGTGTTGGATTTCACGAAGACGACGAAAATGCTCAAATGATAATCCAACACATGAAATGTGGTGTATAACTTGACACAAAACACGTGAAGTCATTTGCGCAAAATCCGATCATGTTGGAACAAGTATCACAGGGTGATTGCTTCGGCATTGTGAATACTCCGAAAACAAGATGGAGACCAATTGTTGGAGTAAGTGGCGATGGTAAGATCGTCGAAACAAAGCGGCGATAACACAAGTATTTATGGTCGAAAAATTCAGAATCAGTAATGAAACTGAACGGTAGCTAAATTTCCAAAAAAATAATTCCAATGAACGAAGAAATTCAACACAAAGTGATCTTGTCAACACAGCCAAAAGGAACCGACTGGAGGTCGCTATCTGCAGTTGAGGACAAATGGGGAGATATTCCCGGCAACAAGTGTGAAGACAACGGAGAGATATCAGCTGGGCCCGAGTGGGGTGATGATTTTGTGGATGCGATTGCGTTCTGTGCCAATTTCAATGGCACACGGATAGTACAGAGCAGCTCGTCAGTCAGGACAGGGCGTAAGACATATGAGTATCAATTTAACAGGCAATTCATTTGAGATGATAGCTGCATTTTCATCAAGGTGACAGTTTGATTTATCCATTTTCTGCTTGCGTCTTTTTTTGAGGATAGCTGCGAAAATGTGAGTTATGCATTAAGTAATTAAGACAAACTTAGCTTAGTCAAGATGATTGCAAGATAATTTGGATAAGCGTCTTTAGTGAAAGTTCAAACAAAAAGCAATGGATAGTAACGTTAATTTAATATTGTTGAACAATTTTAGTAAGTCGACACCTTATAATGTCTCCTGTAAGCCAGAAGCCAAATGACACGAACATAATGAATTACCTGTGGCGAGAAAAACACCAGACACAGTATAATAATTGTCAAAGATTTGAAACAGGCACTCGTATCTGGGCTAAATGGTTCGATAATGTTATGAAACTTGGGGATAAACGGTGGTCAGGCATGCGCCGTCGGGCGAATACTAATGAGTTAGAAATTTAAACAGTGGCAACTCTTTGAGCATGCAAGAGGGGAAGATGGTCGCGGTCCAGTCAGGAATAGCACCACTATCACAAAAGGGGAAGGAAAGTTGAATGAGATGTTTTTGAACATGGTACGCACAAACTCAGCTTAAAATGATTGGAGGAGCGTCTGGGAAAGTAAAACTACGAACGAAAGATCACGCGCAACACAAAAGGAGTAGTCGTAGGAGTGGTAACACGACAGAACAAGATACGCAGTCCAATTTCAGCACCAAGTCGGAGAACGACGTTAAGCTTACATGTACCCTGACAATTAATCAGTTTAATGTAGACGGATGTGGGGGGCAATTGTGTGAAAAATGGATATGCATATGAATTTGCCGAAGATGCACACAAAATGCAGTGGAAATCGAAACAAAGCATCATGATGGCAGAGGAATTCCCAATGAAGGTGCTATCCAACTACGCAGAGAAACTGTATCTTCCATGAACAACGATGGCAAAACCTTGGCGGCAGGCATGCCGAGTTACACAATGAAAGACTGCGTAAAGTTAGCGCGCTGGGAACACCGAGAGAGAGAGAGAGAAATGCCGCGCAACAGGTCTGATTGATCAAGTGAAAAGTGATAGGTCTAAATCAACCTGTGCGTGTCGACAAACCAGTTGATAAGCATGTGCAGTGAACTTACCTACAAGAGGGATTTTGGGAAACAGCGTGAGCGGGCACTTTAGGCCACACGGCACTCAAATGGAACAGACTGTAAAAAAAACGAAGAACAAAAACACATTGAGCGTAGTTCCAGTATCGAGGAAATTCGAGCCGCAACTATGCTAGCTGAAACATGGATGAGATAAAAAACGAACCCTGTGAGACAACGACGATGCAGTGCAACGCAATGGAAAGTAGTAACACATCAGAGGACGACACCGACTGCTGAGAAGAGCCCGAGACGATTGAATGAAGTTAGACTCCACAACAAATTGCAGAGAGCAACCTAGAAGTATACGCAACACTAAGCATGCAGCATAAACCCGGTTAAAACAATGGGGCAAAAGTCACGAGAAGACTTACGGAAATACGGAAGAAGTGATGTTTACATCGAACGAGAAGACGGGGAAAATGACTTCGGGGAACGCTGAAAGTACAAAGCATGGGAAAATCATTCGTAAAGCCTTTCAGCAGAATGACTGGTGGAATGGATCGCGGATACTTCAAGGGTGGGACGGATAGGGAAAAGTGGATGATCTCAGTGTAAACATGCATTTTGAGGCCGCATTTGAAGTAAAGTTGACGAAGTGCACTGCTGGTATTCGATAGTAAATCTGTATGCGTATCGGCGACTAGTCGTCTGTCATGTTCTCTCAGTACGGTCATAGGTGTACGATGAAGCATAGCACGACATGGAGGACGCTCACAACAAACCGTGTGCGCTCTCTCTCATTTGACAGCGCCGCAGTCACGTATAATAGCATGATCGAAACAGTGGGAAACTGATCAACCGTATTTAAGTGCACCTAACCGAGGCAGCAAAAGAGCACACAGTTACCTGTTAGTTCTGGCCAAAAAGGAAGTGGGTAGATGAACCGAGCAGCGATTTGTACGGCCGATTCAGAACAGCTGGCGTTCAAAGGGTAACCCTGAAAAATCGACGAATTAACCATGAGACTCATTAGTTTATGTAACCGACCTAAAGATTTCCGAGTGTGAATGGACTGCGTACCGACTCGGAAGCAAAGGTAACGAGAGCAATTAAAGGTAGAATGCACTTATGGCAGCAAAAAGACGCATTCGGATGAATTTTGACGTGAAACAAATTGCCTTGACGATAAAAGAAAGTTAACATCAAGATGTAGGTAGTTAGATGAAAAGTAGCCAATGGTTCGTCCGCGAAAAAAACGTAAGGTGGAATTACCATCCAATGTAGTCGGACAATTGGCTGCAGTCATGCAGTAATACGAGAGTGAAAACTAAGTGTGCTCAACGATCAGAATGTTATTTGTAAAGCAAGACATCGTTTGTACTGTGCATAACTGGCGAGCACCATTTAGTCATGACGTCTTACACTGGGTATCTTCTTATTTTTGGTTTGCGCGATCTATCTGTGTTCATTGATCTGAACATTCCGTTCACTTAAATCGACTTCGGTTCTGTCCACCGCGAGTTATACACGAACACATCAGCTCTCATTTGTCTAATTGCTTACCACAAATGCTTAATGTACCCGCGGCTATTCCAGCCAATCTGCTTCGTCGCTCTTCCTGACCCAGCTGTGGTTTGTTCCCTCTAGGCTGAATCTATGTTGAATCCTCTGTACGTCCCGTCCACACGTGATCAAGTAGCGATGCCAACCGCTGCTTAGACGCTGGCATCTCGTCCATCTAATGATCCGCTGTGCATAAAGTACCAACTCCTACCAAAATCATCATCCAACGAGAGAGCACAAGGACGACAACCGAAGATAGCAGACAATTGCTGCATATTTCTACGCTGCGGCACCAGAGTGCAAAGATGAGGACTCACACTAACAAGCAGACTCCCGAAGCTGTAAGTGACAAAGGAGAGTAGGGTGTGTGTGAGCGGCCTGATCTAGCACGTACACGTTTTAACGACACACGAGCAGTGCACTTAAGGGTTGGCTGTCAAAAAGCACTTGACAGGAATATCAACTAAGAGTTCGGTGCTCAAAAGCGACGAAGCAATCGGCTTACTAAAGTCCTCTGCGTAGAGTTAACAGACGTCCTGGATTCATAAAGCAAAAAGAGCCGTGTTGCAGCGAACTATAATCGCCCAACGATCAGAAGGATGGAACAAAACCATCCCCATGAACCGTTAAATTCTTGGGAAACTCCATGAACTGCATCAGTGCGCCCTACTGCCTATTTCACAGTTTGATTACCAGGAGTGATACAGCTACCTAGATAACTGGTTGATGCTTACGAGTGGTTGCTCAGTGACAGTGAGAACAGATTGAGGGATTAGCGTAAGCACCTAAAGCACGGTGTAACGGGTGAAGATCAAGCACATCAGTGCACCTCTGTGCCCCCGGATGATGAAGTGTATAAGGTAGTGAAAGTGATAATTCCGCCAAAAATATTACAAAGTGAAAAGAAGACGGCGGCAGGAACAGTGACTGCAGTTGAACTCGAAGTGACAAAACACGCATTGGTACTGATCGACGATCTTTTCATGTATAAACACTTACCAACTTTCTGAGAAACATTTCACGCAATCCGTTCAAATGGGTAAATGATGTGTGAACGGTGCCAAGCATCTGGCCGACTGCTAGCTCTACGCCCAGGGAGCCGACGCGTTGGGTACCCTCGTACTCGTACTTCGTCTGGTCAGTCAAGGCAGAGGAATCGAAATCGGAAGCGGTTGCAGCGACCCCGTATAGGTAAGATGAACAAGGGCCAGCGTATTCCACGAGTATGGGAACGGGGCTGAACGGAATTCGGTAGAACAACATGGAAAACACAGAAACCCATTGGAATAAATGCAGCGAGTAAAACGGTATATTAAATACTGTATTATGGGAGCAAGCAACAATTAGAATCCGCTTAACCTCAACGAAATATGATCGAAAGAGATATTAAAAAGGAAAACTACCCAGATTTTGTTCTGTTCTCCGAGCTGAACAGTTTCGTTGTGAACGTTTCATCACCAATCGTGGTGACTTCTTTAGTGCGTAATAAGCAAACTGAGTTGTTTTGTCGGCTCTTACCGACGACCTCGTCGGTAAGCGCGAGAGTACACTTGGGTCCATCACGGAAAGCATAAGAAACAGCGGTTGGGCGTCAAATGTGCAAATTCGGCCGTCTCCACCCTTCCCCAGGCTCAACAATACCGACTTGGGTGGGTATACCGGGAGGCGGACACCAATAGACCACATGGAAAGGCGGTTGAGGTCTTGTTGAATTAAGCCGCAGTCGTTGGATGTGCTTACCACTCTCCACATCTTCAGGTTGTTTGCGAACAGGGCACACGGCGACCAAAGAAGCTTAGGTAGGTCGTTGATATAAAGTATAAACAATGTAGGCCCCAGCAGCGTGTCTAGGGGTAGGTTGCTGTTCGAAGGAAACCAGTCGGTAAGGTGGTTGTTGACTTGCATCCTCCACTTTCGCCAAAGGAGAAACTCCAAGATCGACTGGTGCAGCCTGCCACAACACCGCACATTCTCAGCTTGTAGAGGAGGACCACACGGTTCACCTAGTCAAACGCTTAGCAGAATTCCCCTGCTTCATCACCAGTAGGTTGGTAATGCATGAGCCGCGTAGCATAAAACCATGCTGTGTGGATGTCAAGAGATCGTGTGATCGAAACAACTGTAGTACTGTCTTCTTCACGATGTTTTCGGCTACCCTGGCGAAAATAGGCGTCAAACAAAGGCATCCGCAAATGTCTAATTTACTGGGGTCACTGTCTCCCGGAATTGGCATTACAACCCAGCATTTCTAATCAATCGGCAAGGAGCCTTCGGACAGCGACGTGTTGAACAGGTCAGTCACGGCAGGCAAGGAAGACAGCCGATAATGACTTGAGAATCAGCGGGTGGAGTCGGTCACGGCAAACAGGACTGCTGCCGCCAAGGTTGGCGAGGAGTTGACCCATCTCTTAAAATCGTTAGGAGCGGAACACATGGTCATTTACAAACACAGAAGCAAAGTACGCCGCGAATAAATAAGCAGGTTCAAAGCTGGAGGTAATAGACTGTTCGTCCGCACCCTCTATCACTGGTAGGTCACCTGCCGGTTTCAGGCGCCGGTTCACGTGCGCAAAGATCCTCTTCGGGGCAGTTTTGGCTGAGGTTGCAAGCTGCTCTTCGAACTGTCGGTGCTTGCTCATTTTCTCATTGTTGCAAATAGTTCGCTATTTTTTACACGTCTCGTAGTCGCCGACCCAGCGAGAGACAAGGAATTCATCCCATAGTCTGCGTCCCCACCGAGTCAGTTGAATATATTGCTTGTCGAACTAATGTGGTTCGACTGGTCCGACATTGCGAAACCTGAAAGGCACAAACCAGTTTTACGATGACTTTATTCCATCCTTTATAACTGACCAGCAAGTTTCAGCAGGTGCAGCGTGCGACAGAGACCAATTCACTTGGATCGCTGTTCCAATAGGGCAATCGAGGCTTGGTGTAAGTTGGCTACCTCCAGTGCATGGGAATGCTACAGCAGTAGCAACATGTGGGCAATGATAACTGAGTGGTCGCTTGCTGCCAGAGGCTCCAGGATCCGAAAGTCGTACATACGTTGTTTACAGCTTGTTAACATCAAGTTTGAGCAAGACGGAGTTGAGAGCGGTGTTAAGCAAGTCGGTTGGCAAAGGTGCTGTGCTGCCTCAGTTTCAAGTACCATTTCAGCGAACCTTGCTTCGGTTTCACAATGTTCGGGGATGAGTTGAAATGCAGGCAAGCGTATTCGAGGGCAATTGAAGTTACCCATGAGTAGAGAATGGAGCGACTCATGTGGTTCAGGAGATGTGGGAGACAAACCAAATCACGGCTAAGGGAACTGTCATAAAATGCCCCCATAAGCAGCTCTCCGATGCTGAGGTGGATCGAGCACAACTACTCACAAAGGCTACGGTGGACGTTCATAAGTCTACAACATAGAGAAGACCGGATGTAGAGAAAGACGCTATTGCAGACATTCGATAGCCTCTCACTGCGGAAACACTAGTAGCTACTAAGCGTAACTTCTTGAGTGAGACCCTCATTATGCAACTACATCCCGCGAGTCCCACTATATCTGGTCGATCGAAAGCAACAACGCGGCATAGCTCATCGCGCTTGATCATAAAACTGCAGACGCTGTAGGAAGTATCGGGCGTGCCTGAAGAGTGGGCGACTGAGTTATCCGAATTCGCGTTTGTGCTTTAACCAAGCAAAAAGATGCAATAGGTTGGCGTGTTTTTCCTCTGCTGGTTCGATACTTTCGCTCGACAATGATCCAGTTGAAGCGCTCTCGGTCAGCCGGACCTATATCCAGAGGAATATGCGCTCTCTCGCTTCTCAGCCAAGGCAGTATTCGCTTCGAGCTTAACTAGACGGCGAAAGTTATTCACATATGTCAGTCCTTCTAAGCTGTGTTATTTCCGAGACGCATGACGCCTCACTTTCGAACCATCCTCACCCATATCGAGGAGTCAATCAGTCAGGCTCTCAAACAAGTCAACAACAAGATCAAGGAGTTACTGCGGATGTGGATGGATAAACTCGGGCGCATGAAAAAGCATCAGATCAGATCACCGTCTATCGGTCGAAGCGGTTCCTGTGAGAGGAGGGTGATCTTGAGCCATCGATGGTATGGCAAACTTTTGCATACGAGCAGCGAAAGTAACAGGGACGAATGAAAAGTGCGAGCGCAGTAGTATCCACAGGCCACCCAGAACAAAATTAACGCATGAAAGAATAAAACGGATAGCAACAAGTCTAATATCCGTAGCCCTTTGTGTCGGATGAAAGGTTTAAACAGCTATAAACCAAAACATGAACATTAAAGACAGAGCTACACATATTACTCAAAGATATGTGGTTAAACAAAACGCAATTCGAACATAAGTTTAACCCACTGATGTAGAAAACACAACAACTGCAAACATATTGAATAGACAATCAAAGGTAACCCTGCAATTGCTCGTAGGAACGTTCCCTCAGGAAACCCTGAACGCAGAAGCGCATACAAGAAAATGCGTGCGGGCATCGATGGCTCTGTAGTTTCGACGCGTTGAGGAACTAGATTTACAGTTGGATAAAACGCTATGAAAAGGATGGCTGATATCAGTGAGTAGTTTCGAAGCAAGTTTTGCGGTTGAACTAACATACACCCATACAATGTGTTGAGCTAAGGTTGGTCTAGAAATGCCACTGCATGGAGATTTTTTCCAGCGGTCTATGAAGTAGTTTACAATGTTTACCCAATAGACCCGGAAAGATCACAGGAGAACAGTAGATCCAGTGTGGTAGAACACACGCAATGACGAAGCGCAGGATCAACTGCTGGGAGATTGGGGACGAAGGAAGACGTGAGACATAAAAGGACAGTCACCTGACTTTGGTGAATACTTTATTCATGTGAATTGATCACGAAAAATCATGGCTCAGTGTGATTCCCAGATACTTCACTGACATCGAAAAGCTCAGGCTTTCACCAGTGATGTGAAGTTGGGGACAGTCAGCGACGAGCTTCTGGTAACGATCTGGCTTATGCAGCGAAAACAGTACACCCTGCGTTCAGCCACAGGAGTTTGACCAACGCACGATTTTATCTAAACAACATTGTAACATGATCGAAGAGGTTGAAGTTAGACGATTCGCACTGATTAATACATCATCGGCGAATTTTAGCATTATGGCATCTGCAGGGACAGGGATGGAGCCAACGTAGGTAGAGAATAAGAGTGACAACAAAAAGGCTCCTTGAATGACACGGGAAGTAGTGGTAAGAGGCAAGGAGCTCCTACCGTTGAACCTGGTTATCTGAATACGTTTGGCAAAATAATCCTATAGCAAGAAGGCTATGGGTGGTTGGAAACCAGAAGCCAGGAGATCTTGCAACAAGATTTCACGGTTAACAAAATCGAGCGCGCTGGTTTAGTCAAGGAAGCATACACGTGTGGCTTTGTTCTTGCTGTCTAACGACCATAGCACTAAGTGAACTTGACAAGCCACTGCGTCTTGTGTCGATATCGAAGTTCAGTATGCAAATTGATGTGCATCATTCATACAGGAATGGGTTAGCAATTTTTCAAGAATGAATTTCTCGAAGAACTCTAAAGCCACCGAAGTGTACGCAATAGATCGATATTTACCTGTCGCATTCTTCGGTATTGGTGTTATGCTAGCAGCTCTCCAACAGTCTGAGATCTTGCCTTGGTTTAGGCATACAGTGTACAACTCAGCTAGTGGTTGGGCTAGTGAATCTGCACACTCCTTAGGGACGAAAGGAGACAACCGGTCAGATCCGCTTGATTTGCGTGAGTTTAGCTGGGTGAGCTTCATGTGAAGTGCTGCAACATCAACAACTGTCCATGAGTCTGTAGGCCACAGAATCTGTGCAGATGACGAGTTGGGGTGTGAGTCATTGATGGAGCAGCAGAAGTCGCGATTTCATTCTCCTACGTCTATGACGGGCGACTCCACTAAATTGTTTCATCATCTGCCAAATCTCACAGCAATTATTGTTTCCCAGAATTGTCTGGAAGTAGGCAGGATTGAGGCAATGAATTTCTTCTCTGATGCGTAGAGAAAGAAACTTTACTGAGGCACAGTCTTTAACTTTGAAGGCTCTCTCCTTAAGTCGACGCAGCTGTTTGAGGAGTGGTGAGGAAAACCGGTCAGCAGGAATGAGAATAGTTTCCATCGAACAGCAGAGATGAAAACAGAAGTTCAGGTAACTTGTCATCTGGGCACACTATGTTGAGACATCTGCATCGAAAA